CCGAAGATCTGGGTGGCGAACATTTTGGTACAGGGAGCACTTCGGATTGCTTAGGTTACATTGTTAGTTACTGCTGTTCACGTGAAAATGAAACTTTGAGACAATACCCCTGAATAATAAAAGGCTCTCTCTTGTAAAGACAAAATTTCTGGCAAAATATTAGCGAATTGTAGCCCTTATTTTACTATCTTACAACATATCAATGATCTTGAAACTACGAGGTCAAATAAAACGACGGTTTATCTCAACACTCTTAAATTTTTTAGAAAATTTATCGAGCGGTTTAAAAATTATTCGCTAATTTGTTAAAGTAGACCGAAATGTTTACATTACGGCTAACAAGAGCGCCCCGATACGTTCTAATCAAATCCTTCTTTCTAGCAATCGGCTGGAGGTATCCCCATGATCTTTCACACACGTTTTTAAAAAGATTGAAACTACTATGAGGTGAAATTGCATGTCAAAAGCGCTTCGTTTAGTACAGATAACAGTCGAACATCAAGATTGTCAATTTTTTTACCATATTTGTAACCAGAAAAACCTCATCCCAAAATATCTCGATAACGCTCTTACAGATTTCGCTTAAACTTCACGAACATCGAGGCAGCTATCGTAGATAAAAGCTCCAGTAAACGATTTTGGAAGAACAGTTCCCAGTGCCGAGAAATACTGCTGGAAGTAAAATAGGTAATGGCGTCATTTCGTTGCTATGACAACTCCGATGTCATTCTAACCTCGATCATAACAAATTTTCATCTTTATCTAATACAACTGTGGTGTTAATTTTTCCAAATCCATGTTTATGGCGACGTAGTTTACGCTCAAACTTGGGAGGTATTGACCCTGAAAAACTGTATCGAGCCACCGTAAGTGCAATAGTATTGCCACTATCATCGGCTAGCTTAAATAGTTAACCTATTTGGATGGGGGGAGGTGAACCCACAGAGGAGGTGGAGGTCATCTCACTAACCCGTAAAAAAGCATAAAAATCTGTAGAACACATGGCCTTGAATTGACAAACTTGATACCTATAAATAGCCAGATTACACGCCGAATCAAGTAATTTGTGCAAGATTGGGAGGGTGATAGGAAGGTGGCTATCCGGACGAGAACCCTTTTTACGGTAGCCTTTGAGCATTTGGATGGCAAAAAGGCTTTAATGGGATCATCAAAACAAAGAAATTTATGAGAGTAGCCTTAAGCCGAAACATAGGAGCTAACGGTTGAAGGTGCATACTGCTTATCAAACATATAACCGATAATAGAGCTATGGTATTTGGAGAGATAGGCAAAACTGTTGAAACTGTCTGAAAAATTGCATTCAAAAACTGGTGAAACAACCTCAACGCTCTCTTGTAAGTCGGAATCGAAGAAGGCTGTAGACTAGATGAGGCAAGCATAGTTACTGTGTTACCCAACTCTGTGGCTGCAGATACTGGGAAACCTCTGTGGGGAAGGGGTCCATATAAGCTGGGGCCAACCGTGTACAATTGTGCACCTGCAAGCGAGACAGAGCATCAACGAGCTTCTAGTGAACACCTGGAATATGCCCAGCTTTAAAAACGATATTGTAATGTAAACAAATGGAGACAAGTTTCCGAACAAAAACCATTAATGATTTATCCTTACAAGACTGTTCGTTGATGACGTGTACAGGAGACTCATTGTCCGTAAAAAATAAGAGACACTGATTGTACATAGCCTCGCCCCACAGGTGCAGACTCAGATCAATTGGATAAAATTCCAAGACGATATCCTTGTGTTCCCAACCTGGTGGCCACTTCCCATAGCACCAATGAGACCCAAAAATTGCACCAAACCTAAGGGCACCCGAAGCATCGGTAAAGAGGTTAATTTTCGTGGAGCTGAGCCAATGCTCTTCTAAGAAAAATGACCGACCATTAAAATGGTACAAAAGTGACAAACCATAATTTAAGGTCTTCTTTGACCTCCTTATTGAGCCGGATTTTGTGTTCAGGAGAGTAGATTGATTAGCCGCCGTAGAAAAGCACGACCAGGTCTTACCACAGAACAGGCAAAATTTAACAAGCCTGTAACAGACTGAACCTCCTTAAGGGTGACTTTTTTTGCGTTGTAAAAATTCAGAGATAACGGATCTGCATTTGTCTACCTTATCACTAGGTAAACGAGCTTCCGAATCCAGCTCAATGCCAGCAAAAGAAAGAGTGGTTACATGGCCATACGTTCTCTCCGGTGCCATGGGAATACCCAGGTAGGAACAAAACGACAAAAATAAATCGAGCTGCATTTGACACAACTGCCTAGAACAAGCGATTTAGAGAAAGTCGTCGAGAAGGTGCAGAATATATGAGATGTTTAGCTTACTATGGACAATCCATTCCAATGCGGTACTGAAAGTTTCAAAGGTCAGACATGAGAATGAGCAACCCATGGTCATGCACCTATCATAATAATACAAATCCCGCCATTGTATTCCCAACAAGTCATAATCCTCAGGACGAATTGGTAATATTCGAAAAGCATTTTATATGTCAGTTTTAGCCATAAAACAACCCTGTCCTGTCAGCTCAGCTGACAGAAGATCTTCGGAACATAGCCGCGTGGTGTTGCAAAAACAGTCTACTCATTAACCAGGACAAAACAAAACTTCTGGTTCTTGGGACTCCACAGTTGCTGATGAAGATACCAGATGATCCAAGCATTACACTACTCAGCAAGGAGATTACATCATCTAAGTCTGTTAAAAACCTGGGGGTTACAATGGACTGTAATCTAAGGTACGACGAACATGTAACTCAATTAAGAGAGTGTCTCTGTAAGAGCGGTCCGGTCGATTTTGCTTGAGACAAATTTAGCTCATTTCTTGTGTGTTGTAAGTAGTGGATAAGGCACCTGTTACGCCGTTTTTTTGCGGATTTAATTAACTTTTTCTGCGGTATAAATTAACGCAGATGACGTCATGCATCTCATTAAGATAGGATGATGTCATACTTTGAATTAATGCCGATGACGTCATGCATTCCATTAAGATATGATGATGTCATAGTTTATTTTTAGGAGCAAGTGACGTCAGAATTTCCTAGTGTTAACGTCATCAAAAAAGTTTTGAGATCATAATCTATGAATAGAAAAGTAATATCATCTCCCTACTTGGTCATGATGATGTCATATTTATTCAGGTAACATGAGGTCAGGGTTTATTTTTACCTGCCAGTTTTTTCTATTGTTTCGAAACACATAAAATTGAGCTCCCTATCCAAGCAGTCATTCACGAATTGTGAGAAGAAGTCATGAATTTCAATCAGTTAACCACTTTCGATTTGGACGTTCCCCTGGAAATTTTCGAACCATGGGATGATTGGGAAAATGAGTTTGAAAAATTACCACAGGTAAGTGCTCTCTGTTTCTCTGTATTTTGAATGAACGTTCGGCTCTCTGGTCGAGTATTGTTACCAACTTAACCAAGTTTATTATTTTTTTTAGGATACTGGACGGCCTCACTTGAACCAGATACAGAGTGGAGCTGGCAGGAAACGACTAGCCGAGGTAGGTTTTACAATACTAATTAAGGTACCTTTAGGTTGTTCGACATACTTTATTTATAACTACGAAGAGCTCGGGAGCCGTAGTTCGTTAAATCTCCCACGTGAAATAAAATGGTCCAGGGTTAGGGTAACCCTAACCCTAATTAAGAAATTATAAAAATGAAGCGTGCAATACGTAAATTGAGCAGTAGTTAATGGTTTTTGTATATTTAAAATTGTATTGAGAAGAAACAGCTTCTACAAAAGTTATCTTAAGATAGATTCCATTTAGATACTATGATAAATGAAGCCAGTTCTTAAGATTGATGGACTTAAATTATTGTTTTACAGAAACAACTTATGGTATAAATAAAAGAATTATGAAACCATGCTGTTGAAAGACTTTGTTGACGTAATTTTGAGCCAGAACGCTCAAATAATACTTGTCGCACTATGTCTTTTAAACGGGTTTGTAAATCCGTCATTAATACAACTTATAATTTTACAGGATGAAGTAGACTCTACTTCTTCTAAAATGCCACGCTATGCAGTTCTTGGAAAGCGACACGAATGTTCCCTCTGTGGGCGAAAGTTTAATCGAATGGATATCTAAAAACGACAGGTGAAACAAGTTCATGAACGCCTAGCGGCTCAGCGGGAATACGTATGTAATACCTGTGGTGAAGTCTTTCACAATCTTGCTCCATTTCGAGCTCATGGAAAATCAGCACACAGTAGACCTTCTACGGCTGCCAAACGTCTGCACCAAGACGACTCAGGTAGGAAGACTCTTTTGCAGTAACATAAAAATAGCATTTTGTGTAAATGATAAGTGCTGTGTAAATTTCCTTCGCAAAGCATAATAGATAGTAAGATATGTTGAAAAAAGGCTTTATTGGCCTTTGTTTACAGTACCTTTTTACACAATACCTTACGGAATATAATAGAGGTTATACATTGTTGAACACTTCTTTTGTCCTTAAAACCGTACTTATTAAAGGCTTAAAATTAGGGCCATTTTAACCAGGAATCATCGTCTGGCTTAAATTTTGGAAGACTATGTCTACTCTGAGGTGTGATTTTGGCATATAAAGCTGAATCTTGACACCCAAAAACTAGCTAAAAACTGCCTGATCTGACGTTTTCCCAGTATATTACAAAGGCCTAGACAGGGAGTCAAATGAGAGGTTTTTTTTAGAAAATAATAAAAATGAATGAATGAATTGAGTAAACACTTTTCGTTGTAATTTAGCAGCCTTTTGTTTCTCGAATAAAAAAAAAACTGTGACTTCAAGAAATGTCAGAGGTAAATTGCTAATAACAATTATGTCTGATTTTCCATATATTCCGTGTGAGTGTCACCATTTTGTTTTGTAATCGACGTTGAATTTGCCGTAATTTTTGGTGGTGGTAAGTTCACAATATATGGAATAAAACGTAACTTTTATTTTGACCACATTGGAGACATTCTATTTAGATAGATGTATACCTTTTTTTTTTCTTTCAGAAAGAAAAACCAAGAAAATAAAGTCGACCCCTATCGAAAAAAGGCAGTCAACTCAGAGTTCTAGTTGGCAGCAAGAGCCAAGATCTATCACCGATCTCCCTGAAGCACAACAAAGTCTCGTTCACGAATGCCGCAACCACTGGCATCAAATACGCACTCGTTTTAGCCGAAAAAATCGCCTTTTGGACTGGTACAATTTCCGCCTGTCCTCTCTCCAACCTCAAGAACTTATAACTCATTTGAATAACATTTTTACTGACCAGTCCACGGTGTTTAAGCTGAATATGTCTTTTGGTTTCATTCTACGCAACAACGAGACTGGAGCACTTCAATATTATTATGCCTCCAGAAATAATGAGCAAGTCCTTGAAGCGCCCTCTCAAATTACCACCGCAGCTGACCTTCAGCAAGTTCGTGAAGCATTGCTAAACCTTGACGTCTGGGAATGGGTACGCCAGCGACGCCCCAACTCCAAATGGGTCGTAGAACAGGTGACCAATGTAACCTTTTTCGTCACCAAGCTACGAGGTCACCCTATAGGGAGAGGTACTTACTTGCCTTCCTATCTGGCCGAGAACCATGATTTGGTCGCCTTGGATCGCAACCGCAATAATGGAAAAGTCTAGAGCGACAATTTGTGCTTCTTTCGCGCTTTGGCACTCCACACTGGTTGTCACCCAAAGAATCTAGAGCGAGATGCACAACATTACTATGAGCGATATAGAGAATTTTTTCCTGAGAAAAAGAAATTTTGTGGTGTAAAGCTGAAAGAACTGATCGACCTAGAACACCTATATGAAGTCAACATTTTTGTCTATTCCCTCGAACCCACTAAACCCGATGGAGAGGAGGGGGAAGAAGACATAGAAAAAGAGGAAGAGGATTTCGCTCCTGAGATCGCTGCGCAGTTGATTCACCGCTCCCTTTGCCACTACCCAACTACGCTGTACCTCAACCTGTACCAGAATCACTTTTCCTATATTAAAGATTTAAAGAAGTATACCAAGTCCTACAGCTGCTCGCGATGTGGAACATTGTGGAAACATTTTGGTATGTTAAATCGTCACGAGCGAACCTCTGAAGCGAAAGTTAATTACCAGTTTCCAGGAGGTGCTTACAAGACCCCACCAACCATCTTTCAGTCGCTTGAAGACGAGGGATTGACTGTTCCTGAGCATCTCAAGTTCTTCCCTTACAGAGCTACCTTTGACTTTGAGTGTATGTTTACACCTGAGACAGACCTTAACGATACAGAGAAATTGACTTGGGACGCTAAACATATACCCCTCAGCGTGAGTGTCTGTTCCAACGTTCCAGACTACGACCAACCAAAGTGTTTTGTCTCAGATGGGGACTCTAAACTGCTCGTCAAAGAGATGTTAGAACACCTCGTAAAAATCAGTGAACAAAGTAATGACCTGTTAAGAAAAGAGTTTAACTTTCTTTTTGAAGCCATCGACCAAAAGCTGCAAGACCTACAGCAAAAATCAGAAGCTGGTGACCCTTCAAAAACAAACGCAGTAGAAGACCTCACCCAGGAAGATAGCGATGATGAAGGAGAAGATCTCATGGACACAGATAATGAAGAGGAAGAAGAAATCGAGTCTGAAACCGAAGAAGATCGTGTCTTTATTGATGATGACGTAGAAGAACAAGGTGCCTCGTTTTACAGGGCCTTAGATCGCGAACAAGAGGATCAGAGTGAGAATGATCACGAGTGTGAATATGACAGACCAGAGGACAACAGCCCAGAACCTAAGAAGAAAAAGTGCACCCTTTAAAGAAACTGAGAGATCGTTTCCAAGAATATCTACAAGAACTTCCTGTCCTGGGCTTCAATTCTGGTAAATATGACTTGAATGCCGTCAAAGAATTTCTGTTTCCTGTCCTGGTCCAGAATGAAGGCGTTCAGTTTACTATCAAGCGTAACCACAATTTCATGTGCCTAAAGACCCCACATCTTCGCTTCCTCGACGTCACCAACTTTCTTGCTCCCGGTTTCAGCTACGACAA